TGCCTCCCCCGCACGGCCGCCGGAACCGGAACCGCCGCCACCGCCCACACACTTCCGGGCACGCTCCCACGCGCTTCCGCTTCCGGCTAGGGGGCGGGGGGGGGGGGGGGGGCCCGGCCCCCCCCCCCCCCCCCCGCCCCTGCGACGGGTGGCGCCTGGGGACAAAGAGGGCGGAAAGCGAAGGGCTCGGCTGGGCCGGCATCCAGCTGTGCAGAGGTCCTGGTATACGGGGGTCCAGCTGTGCAGGGGTCCTACTTTACAGGGATCCAGCTGTGCGGGGATCCAGCTGTGCAGGGGTCCGAATTTACAGGGATCCAACTGTGCAGGGGCCTTGGTATATGGGGGTCCAGCTGTGCAGGGGTCCCACCTTGCTGGGATCCAGTCGTGCAGGGATGCCACTGCATGGGGATCCAGCTGTGAAGACATCCTACTTTACTGGGATCCAACTGTGCAGGGGTGTGACTGTATGAGGATCCAGCTGTGCAGGTGTATGACTGTGTTGGGACGCAGCTGTGTAGGGATCCAGCCATGCAGGATTCGGCCCTATGGGGACCAGGCCCTATGGGGATGAGGCTGTATGGGGGGACCTGCTTGTGCAGGATCCGGCCCTGGGGTGCGGGCAGCTGGGGAGGCCCCACACTCTAGGAGAGGGCACCCTGTGGCCCACCCCTGACCTGCTGCACAGAGACATGGGGTGCTTTTCCCTGCCCCCCTATGGGTGCTGGGCCCCCCATCACCCAGAGCCCACACACCTCTGGGTGCCCCAGGGGGGACTTTGGCCCCCATAAATCCACCCACACCTCACCTTCACCCACCTTTATTGGAGTCACATGTGAGCCAAGGGGTGGGGGTTGGGCCCCCCCTCCAGCCTGTCCCACACCCCCATCCCTGCCAGGCTGCTCTTGGGTTTGGGGAAAGCGGATGTGGCAGCCCCCAGGGCTGCTGCTTTCCACCCCCCCCACCCGCCTGCCCCGAGTCCTGCTCTGCTCCCACAGCAGGGGGGGGGGACAATGGGGGGGGGGGGGGGGGGGGGTACACGAGTGTCCGTCAGCCCACAGCTTCGTGCAGCAGCCGCTCCTGCCCGGTGTCATGGGGGCTCAGTGGGTCCCGTCCTGCTGCTCCAGCTGTGCTGCTTGGGGACAAAGTGGGGACAATCACTGCTGGGACAGAGCCGGGTCCCTCTGTGGCTGGGGGGGTGAGGAT